GTAGCTTAAAATGAAAAAAACACACTTATTCTGACCTGTTATTATTAGAGACATAAAACAATAAAAGCTATCTAAATGTTGTTTGCACATTGCTGATTCTCTACAAACATACAAATAGTTTAATAAATAAGTTATGTTTATGCCGTACTTCAAGGTCCCCAAACGTCCACAATAGTTTTTAAGGCCCCAAAATGTAATTGTAATTGACTGGATAATAATTAATATATATTATAATACATATTAATTGTATTATATTTTGTATATAATTATTATTTATTCCTATATTATATAAAAAAGTAAAGAAATGCATTATATTTAACTGATATTATATACAATTATATATATATATATATATATATATATATATATAACTGAAAAAATATAATTGCAATTTTGAAATGCGTAAAACATCGTATATAAACCTAAATGTAAATTTAGACTATATAATATAACTAGACAGTAAAGTTCGTCGAGACAAACTTTGAGGCTGGCTTGACAAAGCCTGTTGGTAATAGTTTGTTTAGTTTAAAAACAGTTTGAAAAAGTATAAGTAGCATGTTATTAGCATGATTCTAGCATGCATTAGCATGTTTCTAGCATGGATTAGCATGGATTAGCATGTTATTAGCATGAGTGTAGTACAAATTAGCATTTTATTAGCATGATTCTAGTATAAATTAGCATGTTTGAAAAAGTTTTTTCAAAGTTTGAAAAAGTATAAGTAGCATGTTATTAGCATGATTCTAGCATGCATTAGCATGATTCTAGCATGGATTATTATGTTTTTAGCATGAGTGTAGTATAAATTAGCATTTTATTAGCATGATTCTAGTATAAATTAGCATGTTATTAGCATGCTTCTAGCATGAATTAGCATGTTACTAGCATGATTCTAGAATAAATTAGCATGTCACTAGCATGATTCTAGTATGAATTAGCATACTGCTAGCATGATTCTAGTATGAATTAGCAGGTTATTAGCATGATTTTAGCATGAATTAGCATGATTCTAGTATGAATTAGCATGTTACTAGAATGATTCTAGCATGAATTAGCATGTTACTCGCATGATTCTAGCATGAATTAGCATGTTATTAGCATGATTATAGTATGAATTAGCATGTTACTAGCATGATTCTAGCGTGAATTAGCATGTTATTAGCATGATTCTGACATTCATTAGCATGTCACTAGCATGATTCTAGTATGAATTAGCATGTTACTAGTATGATTCTAGTATGAATTAGCATGTTACTAGCATGATTCTAGCATGAATTAGCATGATTCTAGCATGAATTAGCATGTTACTAGCATGATTCTAGCATGAATTAGCATGTTGTTAGCATGATTCTAGTATGAATTAGCATGTTACTGATTCTAGCATGAATTAGCATGATTCTAGTATGAATTAGCATGTTATTAGCATGATTCTAGCATGAATTAGCATGTTATTACCATGATTCTAGTATGAATTAGCATGCTATTAGCATGATTCCAGCAT